GATTCAGGTGGAAGAAAAACAGGCAACAATAGAGGGTTTGCTACAAAAACAAAAGGAGCCCTTGGGGAGGCTTTCTGCTGGCAAGCTGAGGGGTAGATGAATTATCATGGGAGTCTGTTGCTGTCTTCACTTGATTCCAGAATCTCTGGGAGGCCCGATGATTGGAGGATATTCTTCAGTTTGATGGCCTTCTTGGAGGCAGACGCATTTGTCCAAAAAAGAAGAAAATTTACTAATTTGCTGATGATTTGCTGAGGAGAGCTGATCAAGTTGGAGAAGGTACAATCATTCCTAGCTTGCCAAATGACCCAACAGATGGTAGGGAAGCATATGCTCCAGAGATGACGAGCTGCAGATTGAATGGATTTATCATGGCAGATGGCTAAGCATTGGTTGATGCTGGAAGGGAGAGGGCTTATATTAATCCTAGTTAGCAATGGCACCCAAATCTGATTGGCGAAAGTACATTCAAGGAATAAATGCTCTTGAGATTCTTGGGAGCTGCAGAAGGAGCAGGATGGGTCCCCTAGCCATCCTTGGATAGCCAATCTGTCCCTGGTCTTAAGTCTAGATAAACTCATGAGCCAGAAGAAGATTTGCACTTTACTTGGAAGCAAATTGTTCCGAATGATAGCCTGGAATTGGTTGCGCAATCATCCGTCTGCAAGAGAATAGTATAGAGACTTGACAGAAAAATGTTTGAGGGGGATATTGACCATAATGGCTTGTCATCTTCAGTGGAGGGCTGCATATTGCAGGAAGTCAGATGTTGCATAAGATTCTGCACCTGGTTGCTATCACCTTCATTATTAGGGCGCCTGATGATGGGTTTCCATATCCATGAATCCTCCTGAATTCTACCTTGGGAACAAGAGGGGACTAGCTTGGAGAAGGCTAACACCTTCGGAAAGAGGCTGGCAAGGGAATTAGGACCCGTCCATTTGTCTTCCCAGAAGACGATCTTAGAGCCATTACCAAGAGACCAATTGACGAAGCCAGAGAAGAATTTATAGCAAGATTGGACATCTTTCCAGAATCTGGAATAATAAGCAGGGGTTGGTTTATGGAGATTGGGTGGATATATAGAATGGAGCACTCTACCAATATGATTGTTGCTGTCATAGAATTTCCAAATCCATTTGGAAAGGAGGAAAATATTGAAGAGATGAAGGTTGTGGGCTCCCAGCCCTCCACAAAGTTTAGGAGAGCAAACAATCCCCCATCTGACAGGATGATTGCCAGAGAAGTGGCCAGCAGCTCCTCCCCAGAGGAAGTTGCGCCTAATTTTGTCAATTTTATTAATGAGACATGAGGGGAGCTTGAAGAAGGACATGTAGTATAGAGGAATGGACAAGAGGACTGATTTAAGAAGCACCAATCTACCACCAATCGACAGATGTTTTCTTTTCCATAGGGAGAGTTTACGGTTGAGAGAGTCTAGAAGAGGTTGCCAGTCGGCTCTAGATAATGAGCCTCTTTTCAAAGGGAGACCGAGGTATTTGAAAGGTGGGGAGAGGTTGCCAGTCGGCTCTAGATAATGAGCCTCTTTTCAAAGGGAGACCGAGGTATTTGAAAGGTGGGGATGAAAAGGAGCAGTTGAGGGTGTTGGCCAAAATAGATCCCTTAGAGGTAGATTTGCCACTATAGAGGAGGTTGGATTTAGAGAAGTTTATGGCAAGACCAGAGACATCTTCGAAAAGATAAAGGATAGATTTAAGGTTGGTGACGTCAGAGGAGCTAGCTTTACAGAATATGAGAGTATCGTCTACAAATTGTAATGATTTGATGTCATTGAGCATACCCTTGAGGTGGAGCTCAGAAAGGTCTCCATGGATGCAGCTATTGTGGAGCATTCTACAAAGGACATCAACAACTAGGAGGAAAAGCATAGGAGACAGAGGATCTCCTTGCTTAAGGCCTCTATGACAAGAGAAGGGGTTGGTAGGAGTGCCATTAACTAGCACTGAAGATGAGGAAGATAACAGAATGGATTTAATCCATGATATCCATCTGCTACCGAAGCCCCTAGCCTTGAGGAGAGAGAAGAGAAAATCCCAGCTGACACAGTCGCAGGCTTTGCAGAAGTCAATTTTAATGATACATACTTCTAATTTCTTGGAGAAGCGTTGATGAATCATCTCATGACCCAGAGCAATGGAGTCCATGGTGGATTTATCCTTTTGAAAGGCCGATTGGGAGGGGTGAACCAGAGATGACAGGAGAGGGCTTAACCTGTTGGCAAGAACTTTGGTGAAGATTTTAGAAATACCATTGATGAGACTGATGGGTCTGAAAGCTGAGGGATGATCAGGAGAGAGAGTTTTGGGGATGAGGGATATGAAAGAGTGGTTGATAAGGTGGAGGTTGGAGGGGTCAAGGAAGATTTGGGAGAAAAAGGAGATGATGTCTGGTTGTAGGACATCCCAAAAGGATTGGAAAAAGAAAAGAGGAAAGTAATCTGGCCCAGGAGCTTTGTCTGGGTGAAGACCAAATACAGCTGTCTTGATCTCTTGAACTGAGAAGGGGTTGTCCAGAGAGGTTAGATCAGAGCTAGGAAGAGAGTAGAGATGATCCCAGTCTAACTGAAAAGAGGAGGATAGGGATTTGAAATGATTGGAAAAATGATGGAAGAAAGCCAGTTGTTTATCATGTTCTGAGAAGAGAGTTGTGTTGTTAATGGAGAGGAGCGGAATAAAGTTCTTTCTTCTATGGTGAGAAGCTATTTTGTGGAAGAATATCATTGGATAATTGCTCTAGTATCAATTATGCCATGACTAGGGCTGTTCAAAAAGCCTGCGGCCCGTATCCATGAAATAGGAAGAGAAACAAGATAATTTTGCATCAAAACTTAAAACTAACCAATCTTTCTTTGCTTCAATCTAAAATTAGAAGGAAATATTCATGAAATGAGAAGAAAAACAAGGCAATTTAGCATCACAAACTTAAAACTATTCAATCTTTCCTTGCTTTAATCCAAAATTTGAAGGAAATATATATCCATCATCTGAGAAGAGAAAACAAAGACAAATTTTCATCATAAATTTAAAATTAACCAATATTTCCTTGCTTCAATCAAAAATTGAAGGAAATATATATGAACTAAGTAGAGAAACAAGGAATTTTGCATCACAAACTTAAAACTAATCAATATTTTCTTGCTTCTATCCAAAATTTGAAGGAACTATCCATGAACTAAGAAGGGAAACACAATTTTGCATCATGAATTTAAAATTAACCGAGAACGAGAAGAGAAACAAGCCTACTATTAAACCACATTGCATCACGCCCATAATTTTAGTTCATGGATATTTAAAGATGGAAATCAATTATAATTGTATCACATCGCCTCATGTCTAAAGCCTGTTATTATATAACATTGCATCATGTCTAAAATTTCAGTTCATGGATATTTTATAATGGAACTAAGTTACAATTGTATCACATTGCATCATGTTCAAAGTCTACTATTGTATTACATTGCATCAGGTTCGAAATTTAAATTCATGAAAATTTAATGATGGAATCACATTGCATTTTAGCAACTAATATGCATTTTAGTCAAATTTGTTTTTTTGCTTTTCAAAATCAAGCTATTTAAATGGATAATAAATCTGTGTGTGGAAACACTGTCTCTATCCAAATTGTTTGCCAACCGAAATTTAGAAACTCATTTAATCAACACCACCAAACACTAAAACCATGTGTGCATTATTCAATTTAACCCATAAAACCTTCATGCAAATATACCAGAACTTAAACAGTGAAAAAACCATCCAAACCCCAACCCTAGCCCTAACCAAATATTTTCAACAACAAGTAACAAACACTTTTTAACACATGAGAACATAAATTTAGACAAGCAATTTCTCAAAATTATACTGAAATTTTGAGGGAATCATACATCTTTTCAAATTACTTGACTTAGGTCAAATTCTAACCCAGATCATTGCAAATTCTCTAGAAATTCACCTCCTCGAGGATCCAAAATCGTGATGCGCTGTTACAGAACCAACTTGAAATTGAAGTTTACCCTAACCCACTATCAGTTTGCAGGAATTTTGGAGAATTTGGGGGCGTTTGGAAGATTTTAAGTGAATTTGGGAATTTTTGTTATTTATAGTGTTTATTATAACGTAGTAGGTGAATTAAACGGTTAAAGAGGCATTTCTGTCTTTTACATAGTTTTTTAAATGACAACTTACTGTTTCAATGGCGGGAGACCTTGGGTAACTTATTTGAAGGTTTTTGAGCCTTGTGTATTTAAGTAAAATTTGCGGAAAACATTGGGTATTCAAGTGTAATTTACCCTTACTGTTTTCATAAAATTGATGGTTATTTCTTACAGCTTGTAGATCTACATGTTTTCTTTATCTCCACACTAGGTGTGTAAGGACACCACAATTTGCCAAATCTGGACAGGACAGTGTTATTTTACATGTGTTTTTTTCTTCCTTGAATTTATATATATATATATATATATATATATATATATATATATATATATATATATATATATATATATATATATATATATATATATATATATATATATATATATATATATATATATAAATTCAAGGAAGAAAAAAACACATGTAAAATAACACTGCCCTGTCCAGATTTGGCAAATTGTGGTGTCCTTACACACTTAGTGTGGAGATAAAGAAAACATGTAGATCTACAAGCTGTAAGAAATAACCATCAATTTTATGAATATTTGGAGTTTTGCTCCAAATATGCAGCCCCCCCTCCATTTCACTATTCCCCCTAAAAAATAACAATAATACCCTTCTAACTAACTAATTATTTTTAGATATTCAACTTAAAATCAACATAAGTTTATTTCTACTAATTATTTTTAAATAAAAGTTTTACAGTTGGAAATGTTTTGTCGATACCTTCAAAATGAGACTAATATTGAATAATATTAATTGAAATATAAAATTTCAAGAACCAAGTAATTAAAAATGAAAAAGTTATTATTTCATTAGTAAAAAAAGTTACATAGCTTCATTTCCATGTCTTTCCCACAAATGTTCAATCAATGCATTTCGAAGTGCAAAATGAGCTTCTTTGTTTTTTAACCTCTTATGTAGAGCAAGAAATTGTTGGAATCGTTCAGTTTCCGTTATCTCCATATTTTCAGCATTCGGAATTGATTGTGGAGTTGAAATGACAACATCTTCTTGCTCGTCGCGTTCATCTTCGACAATCATATTGTGCATTATAATACAAGCAGTCATGATATCATGCAGAGTTCGTTTATCCCAAAAACGGGCTGGCCCCTTGATGATAGCAAATCGTGATTGGAGAACACCGAATGCCCGCTCAACATCTTTTCGACATGCTTCTTGCATCATTGCAAAATATTGTTTCTTTTTATCATCGGAATTAGAAATGGTTTGAACAAGTGTTGGCCATTTCGGATATATGCCATCGGCCAAATAATAACCGACATCATAATTTTTTCCTTGAATTGTGTAATGAGCAGGAGGAGCAATACCTTGTGATAGATTGTCGAACAAATTAGACGACTGCAATACATTAATATCGTTATTGGATCCTGGTAAGCCAAAGTATGCATGCCATATCCATAGATCATATGATGCTACTGCCTCAAGAATAATGGTTGGACCTCCATGACGACCTGAGTATTGTCCTGCCCATGCTGTTGGACAATTTTTCCATTGCCAATGCATACAGTCTAGACTTCCTAACATTCCTGGAAAACCTCTTTCTTCGCCCTTTTGCAATAACCTTGCAACATCGTCGACATTGGGAGTCCTCAGATATTCATCTCCATATACTTCTACAATTGCTCTGCAAAATCTCTTTAAACATACAATTGCAGTTGACTCACCGATCCTAACATATTCGTCAGTACTATCTGCTGATGTTCCATACGCCAACATGCGAAATGCCGATGTAACTTTTTGTAAAGTTGATAGCCCAAGTTTGCCGACACCATCCATCTTCTGTATGAAGAAGTTGTCATGATCACGTACCGCCTCAACTATACGAAGGAATAAACTCCTGTGCATCCGGAACCTTCTACGGAATAGGTTTGCACCATATGTAGGATTATCAGAAAAATAGTCATGGTAAAGTCGAGAATTACCTTCTTCCCTCCCGCGATTGATCACCAAATGACCAGGAACTGAGCCAATACGCTTTGGCCGCTCTGCCTCTTGAGAGAGATAAGTCATTATTTTACTATTAGAGGCATGTACGCGAGCTAAGAGTTCATCTTCCTTCTCCCATTGTGTCATATCTTCCTCCCAATCTTTAATGTACTGAGACCATATTTCGTCGTCAGAAGAAGAAGAAGAAGAAGAAGAAGATGGTAGTTGTGACGGTCCGGCTCCATAGTTCATTGATGAAGAAGTTATTTATAGAAATAATCATATAAGTTGTGAGTTATTTAGAGATGGATGTAATGTCATTATATAATATGACTCCCCGCATTGGATTCTTTTCAGCATTGGCTTCTCACCCCCACATTGGATTCCTTTTGTGTTGGAGACTCCCCACATCGGATTCTTTTCAGCATTGGCTTCTCACCCCCACATTGGATTCCTTTTGTGTTGGAGACTCCCCACATTGGATTCTTTTCAGCATTGGCTTCTCACCCCCACATTGGATTCCTTTTGTGTTGGAGACTCCCCACATCGGATTCTTTTTAGCATTGGCTTCTCACCCCCACATTAGATTCCTTTCGTGTTGGAGACTCCCCACATTGGATTCTTTTCAGCATTGGCTTAGATTCCTTTCGTGTTGGAGACTCCCCACATTGGATTCTTTTCAGCATTGGCTTCTCACCCCCACATTTGATTCCTTATGTGTTGGAGACTCCCCACATCGGATTCTTTTCATCATTGGCTTCTCACCCCCCACATTGGATTCCTTTCGTGTTGGAGACTTCCCACATTGGATTCTTTTCAGCATTGGTTTTTCACCCCCACATTGGATTCCTTTTGTGTTGGAGACTCCCCACATTGGATTCTCCTGGTGTTGGAGACTCCCCACATCTGATCCCTATATAATACTTGCACAATTTTCATATCTCCACCACAACTCTTCTTATTCTATATTCATAACTCTTTACATTCCTCCTTAGATTATGGCATCTAGTCGCGGAAAATCTTTTTTACAAGAAGAAGACCAAGTTTTATGCGCCACGTGGCTCGAAATTTCTCAAGATCCAGTCATGGGTTCTAATCAAAAGAAGGACAAGCTGTGGGAACGAATTTCTGCTTTATTTCATGAAAGGATTTCCAATATTTGTAATGCTCAAAGGACTCCAAAGTCTCTTTCATGCCGAATGCAATTAATTATGAAGGCCATCAGTAAATTTCGAGGATGTATTCGACAAGTCGAGCGCTTAAATCCAAGCGGTGCTTCTGAGCTTGACATTGTAAGTATTTTGAATAACATAAATCTTGATTATCATCTACTATCATGTTATTAATAAATGTTTCTTCCTCTCTTGTGGTAGATTAAACGTGCTAGGATAATATTTGCAGAAGATCCAGAAGAGAGAAAGGGGTTTCTATTTGATCATGTTTGGTCAATTTTAAAAGATGCAGAGAAATGGGCAAATATAAGTGTCAGATTGCCTGCAACTTCCAAAACTTCAATGTCCCGCTCATCTCAGGGATCAGATTCAAGTTCTCCTGTCGTCGACTTAAATGACGATAATGAGGAATATACTCATAATGATGAAGATATGATAACAAGTCGACCGACAGGAAGGAAGAAAGATAAGATGAGGAGGCGACAAGCAACTGAATCCAACCTCGACTTGGAAACTCTCAATAAAAGCAATCAAGAAATTGTCGATATTTTAAAAAAAAGTCATGGAGAATGAGAAAATGATAGAATAACAACGCACCAGATTATGATGTTAAGGGCCGAAAACGAAAAGAAAAAAATAGATATTCAAAGGGAACGCCAGGAAAGTAAGATTATGTTGATTAATCTTGATACTATTACTGATCCTTCGGAACGCGAGTATTTTCGAATTAAAAAACAATAGATTTTAAATAGAAACACAACCGGAGGTTCTTCATCTGATATTCCTAATCCTGAATATAGTTATGCAGGAAGTCAATACGGAATTCCTGACTACAGAAGCGGTGGATATAGAGGAAATGGCCTGCCCGATTTTTAGTTTTTTTCATGTACTTTATTTTCATGTACTTTCTTTTTTTATGTAATGCCGCTGAATGTAATATATAAAATTTCATCATTCGGAGTAACTGTGAAGGTTGTTCCAAATGCTGAATGTAATATATAAAATTTCATCATTCGGAGTAACTGTGAAGGTTGTTCCAAATATTATGCTATATTTTCTGCTTTTTAAAATTTAAAGGCTCTTATCTATGTCTTATTATCAATTTATTAAAGATAATTACTTTTATTTAAATAATGAGTATATTATATATTATACTTTTAGTATTAATTTATAATATATTTTATATTTTAAATTAATTCATATAATTTTTTAACATTTTATATTTTTTATATTTTCAAATCTATTTAAAGTATTAATAAAAGAAATCAATTAAAAATGCAAATAGAGCTTCATATAGAGGAGGTGGTTGGAGTTACCCCCCTCTAAAAAAGCATATGTCCAAGAATATGCTTTGGGGAGACTGCATTTTGCAGCCTCCCCATTGGAGTTGCTCTCAAGTCCTCCGCCATTAAGCCCTCCGCCAGCAAGTAGATCCGGAGAACTCCATTGCTTCTCGGGTAATTTATTCTTCAATTTTTTATCCATATTTTTCTTTCCCATTTTTATACTATTATATTTTTTTTCGGATTAGAATCTGATGTGGCTTTGTAATATTTACTGATACCTTGTTGTAGAGCTCAGGTCATATTTGAATGCAATCTGTTGACAACGAGATAACAAACTAATATACACTTAGATCGGCCACAGTCTGCAATGTTTTTATTTACATCACCGGTCCTGTGACTTCCATTTAATTAAGATGGATGGGATCATATCCTAAACTACTGTTAAAGAATTAATCCAACCCACTTGAATGTCATTGAGATAATTAATTTCTTTTGCTGAGAATTACCCTTATAATGGTTCAAATCAATGACTTGCTAGGGTCATTTCATCGTTCTTCAAATTCAGCCTTGCATTGGCACATTTGTTTTTCAGAACACCTAAACACTCTACTTACTTTTTGACATATTCAACATTTAGGACTTCTAAGATGAAATTGTTGCGCTTATGTCATTTTTAAGTTTTTCTTCCTTGCATTTGTGGTACAGAGTAAAGTCAACTTGCCAAGGTATTCTTGCTAATTACTTGTGTAAACAAATTTATTTTATTCTTGGAACCTTCATAGCACTAATTCAATTAGCATTCATGTAATTCAATTTGGTGAACATATTCTTACATTATGAAACTTCATAGCACTAATTTGGTGATTATATTTGTCATGAAATTTGCAGCTAGGCCAAGTTGTGGAGAAGAAGAACAGCAATCTTGTGGAGAAGAAGAAAAGCCTAAATAGTTTCAATTGCTATCTGAGCTTTTATAAGTCTCTTGGATGTTCCACTGCTATCTGAGCTTTTATAAGTGGATGTCAATTGCTATCTAAGATCTTCATGTGGTTGAAATGAGTCTTATGTTGTACAAGCATCGATGTATGAATGGTGTAATGTTTTGTGTTCAATAATTAGATGTTGTTAAAGGACAGGAATTGCTGCTTATATCCTTCATATGGTTGTGTTATTTTATTTTTAAATGTATAATTGCTGCTTATATCCTTCATATGTGTTGGTTGATCTGTTATGCCTCATTGGCAAAAAATATCATTTGTTGGTTGATTTGTTATTCATTTGTTAATGTATAATTGCTGCTTATATCCACAAGCTTAACATATTCTAAAAAAAAATCTCAGCATCAGAGGGTTCATCCACAAGCTCAGGCTTCTTTTTCACATTTGTTGGGTCAACCTGTAGACCTTTCACCTGGCGTAGCACAACCTGAAAAGTTGCTAGCTTCAGAAATTTCTCAAGACAAACAATTACTTGGTTTATTGCAAATTCAGCATTTGGCAAACCCTCAGCCCTCAACGGGTTTGATAAGCTTTTACCGATTACCGTTTGAATCGGGCTAGCATGCGGATTGTCTAAATCCGTTCTGCAAGTAACGTTGTGCTAAGAGAGTGAATTCTCTGAGACTTTATGCTATGATGTTGAATACATAGACTTCGCCATTGTTACGGGAATAGGCTACCCGACGACACGTGTTAGGTGTTGACTTTAGGATTTTTGGCTAACCCCCAGCCTTCAACGGATTTGATTAGCCTTTACCAACTACCGTTTGAGTCGGGCTAGCATGCGGATTGTCTAAATCCGTTCCGCATGTGACGTTGTGCTAACAGAATGAACTCCCTTAGACTCGCTGCTACGACTTCGAATACGTAGACTTCGCCATGGTTACGGGCATAGGCTACCCGACAACGTGTATTAGACGCTGACTTATCTCTACTTAGGCTTCGGAATAAAATACCCCAGAATCGAACTCTGGTGTCTTTTTCTACGGAGAAAGACTAAACCGACGACGCGTGTTAGGCGTCGGCATATCCTTTCTTAGGATTCAGGATGAAATTCCCCATGCGTGTAAGGCATGGATTTTGGTGTTATTAATAATAACCTGCCACAATGTTGAATATGTGAACGGGTGTTCTTTTTAACGGTTAAGAACTAACCGGCAGCGTGGGTTAAGCGCAGACTTATCCTTGCTTAGGTTTCAGGATAGAATACCCCAGAATCAGACTCTGGTGTCTTTTCTACGGAAAAAGACTAAACCGACAGCGCGTGTTAGGCGCAGACTTATCCCTGCTTAGGATTCGGGATAAACTTCCTAGGATGAATCCTAGATTGATAAATTTTGGAAAAGATCAGTGCGGGAAAGGAAGAATTTTATATTCTAT